TAGCGAGGGCTAGCGACCATTTAGCGACATAGCAGTCGCTACTGTCTGTAGGAAGCGTGGGATGCTATGGAAAAAGTAAGCGCCGTTGCCAACTTTCGTGATGCACCAACAATATCACGTTAACACCAGAGGAGACGGATCTTGCTCACAGAAAACAGATTCCGTTTGAACAGGTGGAGCTAGCAACCACGCAATATTCTTGTATCATCTGCTTCCTTGGGCTCAGTTGGTATAGCGTTGGTCTCATAGTTTCATATGAGGGTGGATACGCCTGCAATCCAAAGGTCGCCAGTTCGAGCCTGGCAAGGAGCAGCTTCTTTTGTATCGACGAGGACGAGGACGATTCGACAATCGAACGATTGTTTTAGTTCATTTCTTTTGTAGTATTTGCTTGAGGCTGGAACCTGGGATAATAAAATGAGAGAAGAGTCCAAATCGTCATACTATCCCGCGAGGGCTAGTCTACAGGAGTACATGAAGCGACTATGCGGTACTCGTTAGCCGAAGATGGGATGAAGTCGAAGTGGATACGCACCTAGAGAAATGAACCGCACCCAGCCGTTTCGTCTACACCAAACCATCCCATCAAAATGAATACATCGCTATCGTCCTAGAGAACAGTACGTTGCGAGGCTGGAGCAATACCTTAACATATCACCCTCCTGCCTCGTTCATTTCGATCCTAACTTCGGACATTTGGTTGTGTAGAGCTCATTCTCATTATATGGAATGAGGATATATGATTTTCGAGACTTGCAGGTAGTGAGGACGGTGGGTGGAGGCTGTAACAGCGAAAGTCGGGCGTGGCAGAGAACCCCAAAGGATTCACGTGGTCGAAAAACTGGATTGTGTTGACGTTGAAGAATGCCTATAGCTATGGCATATAGATCTGCTACGCAAGAATGTGAGAACGAGCGTGAATCACACTGGGGGTTCATAGGGTTTCTGTACCTAAGATATTGGGTATGAATAAGGAGGGCCGGCCGCCTGGACGCACTGCCCCATAGTTGCCGGCTCGCATATCACGCATACAAATTCCATGCCACCCTAGCCGAGCCAAAAGGTGCGCGGAGGCTACAACTTCGAGGTCGTTCTCTAGCCTATTGTCAATTGTCGATTTATATCCTGGTATCTGAATTTCTAAGACACTGACAGAAAGAAAAATGAGAGGAAAAATTCAAAAATCACCTTGATTTAATTGCAACGCGGGGATTTATGGCGGCGGCGGCGGCATTTCAGTGTAACATACTACATTTATCGCTAGGACACCACCACACTGCATTATTCAAGCACTAAGAGCGAAATTAAAATAAAGAGCTTTAGATTAGTATTCATACACAAGAGCAAAGGGCCCTGTAAATTCAAAAGGCCAAAAATTGGAGGGAAAATAGCTCACTAAATGCACTGCTTTATAGTAGTGAAGGATATTCTAAATATCTCAGCCTAGAGTAGGGATGTTTTCTGAAAACTATGTTGGCTTGACTTCCATAATATTTCTGTTCTTAATATAATAGATCAGTTATCACTTGAAGCCATGTAAATACTCTACTTAATACTCATTATATGTACTTACAGACGGCGGGAGATGGCTTCTGGTAAGGTACTAAGGAATTGATTACCGAGCGGCAGATAAGGCTGCCCTACCCCAATCATCGACCAACTCACTAGTCTCAGATCTAATTTAAAAATGCAACTTTCGCAACTTAAGGAGGGGGTACTGCTGACTCAGCGATTACCCCGGGGGTTCTTTTCCCACGGGGTTGCCAAATAGAATCGTCCCCTTGGCGCAACCAGAAGGATGTAGCTGTAGAAAAGCCAGAAAAAGCCACTTTTTCGTATATAGATTGTAACCAAGTATGGATTTAATTTGGAATATGAATATGCAGTATGAAAAGACATGACGCGTGAGGCGTGATGAATGATTTGCAATTATATACGGCATCATATAGAATCAGTGGTCAATTATTCACTGGACATATTCCAAAGTGTTACCAATTAGACGAGAAAACAATGAGGAATGTGTATGGAGCCTTAATTGCTCTTCTTATTGATTTAGGATCAGCTATCCAAGTCTGGATCTGGTCAAATTAGGACGTCGCTGTATAAATCGCTATAGGTGTTTAGGGAGAGTGAGCTCTGGTTGGATTTGATGCTACCATAATTTACAAGCTTTTATATTTAAAATGATGATCCCTACCAAGTCTCTTACATAATGATGGCAAATGAAGCACAAACCTAAGGTGGCACCCTTCCGAAACCCCATGCCCCGTGGTCCTATCTCAACATAATATTGTAATCCATTAAATTCTCTCCACAGAAAATATACGTGAACGGATCGTTGGGCAGTCAGATAAAATTGATCAAATCCTTGTTGGAGCTAGAAGCTCCCATCTACGGATATGATCCTCACGTGCAAAAGGTTCCATTGCTAAATTAAAATTCGGTGCTTAATTGAACACTGCCAGGGGATAGTTATTGGAAGTTTTGTCAGTGTTAATACAGTGATCTTATTGTCTGATGATCCGCCATTTTCGCTCGGGGACCCTTTCTCTGCGAATTAAACGAAAAATGTAAATAAATGAGCTACTTTATACTAATAATTCTCTCTCTCACCTTGCCAATTTTGTTGCGCCGTGTCTCCACAAAAAAATGAGAGGTTTCTACCATTTGCATCTGGTTCACGGTCACAAAATTAATGTCCCCTACCTCATCTAAGTATGCCAAGGTTTTCAGTATATCTAAAGCGGTCCAATATTCAAGCTCGAGGGTAACATCTTCTCCTGTATCTGACAATATTCCGGTTCCAATAACACAATCCAAGGCATTTATCTGAACGCCATGATCTAGAAGGCGTTTTAAGACCCCTTCTCGATGGTCTCTTCCTGGTCCATGAAGTGCCGTGATTGCGTCAGTGCATGGATAATAGCACGAGTTATCTCCGGCTCTCCCGGAGCGCCAAACATTAAATGCCGCTACTGTATTCCCCTCTCGTATCGGTTTATGTAACTTAGAACCTAATTTAAGCCCCATTTAAGCCCGTTATCATTCTTAGCATTCAAAATCGCCTTTTCAAAGGTCTCCCCGTAAAAAGACTCGTAAAGACCATCATAGCGTAAGAACATCGGGTTTAAATGACCACCATGAGTGCAGATAAACTCAACCGCAAATCTAAACTATTAGACTCCTTAAAGTTGGTGACCAACTCACAGAGCATTGTTCCCCTCGTTTAACAAGGGCTCATGACTGGCGCTCCATACTCTAACAGTAAGCTGCATATCGATCGCCAGGAAGCCAAGAGAATCGCTTGATTTAAACAGTAAACAAGCATTTTCTCAGTGATCACGATTCCTGCTATATCTTGTCCTTCAGATAGCAGCAACCGGAGCGCACTCTGTTCTCCTTTCTCAATAGCATATTTAAGCGCACTGGAATATCTGGCCTCGCTAAGTAAAAGCAGCTGCACCAGAACCTCATTTTAAGTATACTGGTATACCGTTCTGCACCCACTGGGACGGCTAGTATAAAACTTTTCCGAGACTTCTCCTGGTTTCATATAATACTGACCCGACAATTACTGGGTTACTTAGTATTATACCACTAATACTAGATGTTGATTTATCTCTATATTATACCAGACTAATGCTTAAATCTCATGCTTCGATTTTGTGAGACCTGCTCTCCTAAAAGAGTTCCAGATGTATAATACCAATCTAAAACACTATGAGAAATTTGATATCTATCTAACTAAGAGCATGATATAATTAGTTCTCACAGAGTAAGTTAATTTGATTTTTGACTGGAAAGCACTGTGCCCATAGCAAAGATTTATGTACAGTATGTTATGTGAGCTCTTACTTTGCAGCGACGCAGATATCTCCCCAGAAGAACACTACTACTCCTTCATTCCACCACCTGTGGTCTTCAAATGCAAGGCCAGAAACTAACTTTGCGCTCGTTGAGGTTTGGCAGCAAGTGACCTCATCAATAACAAGTCAGATTAAATTTAATAATGTTGAGCTTAGTAACTAGACTCACTGTTGACTCTGCAGTTCTAACAGTCTGTGCTAATTTCCTGTGGTTATTATGGATTGTATAATGTTTCATCCAACCAGTATTACCAGCCTCCTGTCACTACATTGAATGTACAGCAAAGTCGCACAGGCAGAGACTCAATATATTGTGGTTACTAGCTCTTCCTAGGGCTCCATTCTCACTTATTATTTCCTTCCGATATTATTAGCGAATTAAAATTTATTCAGGTATTTTTTTTACATCATATGAGCTATTCTAATGTATATACACTCTGAACCAATTTATTAGATGAATGCTGAGAGGGGGAAAGGCAGGGAACATACCGCATGCTGACACAGGGTCAATCCCTTATAAACAATATCCTTACCGAATCCTCAGTGCTTCCAGAACCTCTTTAAACGAAAAAGTAAACTTGATGAATATGAACCAATTGAGCACTAACAGGAGACAGCATAGAGAGAGCTCGAGTGAAGAAGAAAGAAGGAAACCATTGCAGCAGAGCGAAAAAAAGTCAAGCCCAGACCAGAGAGAATCTGTAGAAGACCATTTTGAATAGAGCATTAACTTCATCTAGCATAGTGTTTTGAACTTGCAGAGAAATGATCAAGAGGGTTGATTCACGAAGATTAGTAGCAGAGTTGAGGCAGCAGTAGAGGGACAAGGTGGTTCGAAGAAGATATGACACGCTGATGAAGCACACGTGACTTGTTTGACTTGTTCAAATGAGAATGCCGTCCCAATTTCTCGGCTCAGTGCGTATAGCAATTTCTAGCGAGGCATACCGCCCTATCCATCTAATACTATATACGAGTGGGTACAGCTAGCTAGGCAATTAGCCGCCCAGTGTCAACTTTCCTGATGTAATCTCAATTCTGATTTCTCTCGGCCAGGAGAATATCTGCCGCCTTCATTCCGACGATATATGCAATGGCTGGAAGACTTTAGGCTTTAAAATAAGAAATTAGAGGCAAATCGCTTACATTGAGTATGTCCTAATGGTTCAAGAGGTATGATTGACAAGTCTGCAACACGAAGGTTGCGAGTTCCATAGACCTAGTAATTTATATTAGTAAGATGTGTGATCTCTACGGTGAAATAATTAGCCTTGAGATTTGGGTCAACGACTCCATTCTTCCCGTGTGGAAGCATCGAACAGGATCCACAAGCATGCCTAGAAAACAGAGAATGTAAGTATGGAAAATGCTTTAGCCAAAGGGTAACATACCATGTACTTCCATGCGTGAGTTTGATGAACTCTAGATAAATCCAATCAGTGAATA